GATTTAAACAAAAAAGTTTACAACAAAAACAAAAAACTTTGTTTGCTTTTTTTGAATAAACTAACCACGTTCTATGATTTTTTTCACCATTATCCATGATGCGGTAAAAATAATGATTTAAAAAACTCAAATTATCAACATTTCTTGGATAGTTATTAGAACCTTCTTTGAAACTGTTAGGACCTTTTATAACAGCATCTTGTATGAAATCAATGTTTAAATTTTCCTGCCAATCGCTAATATCGTCAAAGTATTCTGAAGTAGCCGCAGTTTTATTCAATCTTTTAATTATTTCAATAGATTCAATTGAATTAGTAGATTCAGTAGATTTGCTTTTATTTCCAGAATCAGCTATATCATGAATTAATAGGCTTTCTTTGGCCATTTTATCATAATGAGTTTTTAATAGAAATTTTTTTAAAGATGTTTAATTTGATTTCAATTGTTCCTCTTTTTGTAGGCGTTTTTGTTTAAATTCCCAACCTGAAAGTTTTCTTTTCTCCATTATTTTCTTTGAAAGAAACCAATAAATATTATATATATTTTTATAGCAATAGTTAGATAACTTTATATCATATTTAAAAAATGAAACTCTCAAATAAGAGCGCTAAAACACTTTAGAACGAAAAAATTTTTAACGCAAAAAGAACGAAAAAAATAAAAAAAATAAAAAGCAAAACTACTTTTAAAGCTTAAATTTCTAAAAAAGTTTCTAAAAAAATTTCTTTATAAGAAACGCTTTTTTAATTTAAACCCCTTCTATAAAATTGCTTGTTTTTTTTTTTTGTTTTTTTTTTATTTGCATTCACTCCCAACAAGGCTGCAAGCAACCACTATTAAGTTGGGAGTTACTAGGAAAAAAAAAAAAGAACAGAGTTATAGAGCAAGGAAATGGTTGACAGACGACTTGAAAATTTGAAGGTTCTATGAGTCAGGAAAACATGAAGATGGGAGAGAGTTCCAAAGGATTGAAGTGCGGGGAAAAAAACTAGATGAATAAAAGTTTTTAGAGCATGCAGGGACAGATGCAATAAACAAATGAGACTTAGCTGAATGACGAGTAAAACGAGAATGAATTTTAGTTGATGGAACTAGAGATGATAACTCCTTTGAGCAGTGACCATGATAGAATTTGTAGAAAAGAGAAAGAGATGCAACTTTACGACAATGGGAAAGAGGTTCAAGCTTAGCAGATAGTCCAGGTCCAACAACATTTACAATGCGTTTTTGGACCTTGTCAAGAAGAGAAAGTGAATCGTTACAAGAACCAGCCCAAATATGACAACAGTATTCCATACAGGGACGAATAAGAGATTTGTAGAGGTAGAGAATGGAATCAGAAGTAAGGAAATGGCGAGCACGATAAAGAGAAGCAACCTTAGCAGAAGCTAATTTAGCAATCGATTGTATATATGGTTTCCATGAAAGGTCAATAGTAGGCGATAATCCAAGAAGACGAAGAGAGGAGGACTCAGTAAGAGGATTGCTATTCATTAATATAGGAATGTTGACCATATTACGGTAGTTGTTTGCAGTAAGCAATTGGGTTTTTTTAGAGTTGAAATTCACAAGCCACTGTGAACCCCAATCTATTACTGAGGTGAGATCAGATTCAAGATCAGCTGCTTGTTCTAGGCGATCGAAAAGAGAAGAATTTTTGTCAAGACAGGAGTATAAAGTTGAGTCATCAGCAAAAAGAGCTACTTTAGATGAAAGGTTGTAATAAGATTCAAGAGTGGAATTAGAAGAAAAGTTCTTTGCACACAGTTCTGCCTTATCCCTGGGAGAGGTAACAAGATCAGTCCCATGAATGAGAGATGGAATGTTAGATCTACCCTTGTTAACAATGCTGTTAAAGATTTTCCAAAAGTCTTTAGAGTCTAACTTCTGCGATAAGATGCGAGATTTAGTGAACTGAGAATAATGGAGTTTAGCATCAGAAAGCACCTTTTTACATCGATTTCTTGCAATAATAAATAGCCGTTTGTTCTCAAGAGAGTTGTTCTTTTGAAAAAGATGAAAAAAATGATTACGATTGGATATAGCAGCCGCACAAGAAGGAGAAAACCATGGAGTAGAATGAGGCTTGGCTTGAAACCGACGAGAAGGAATAAAAGCTTCCATTCCAGCCTGAATCCAGGAGGTTACGTAGGAGGCGCATTTACCAGCTGAGAGAAAAAAACATCAGCCCAAGGACCATCACGAAGAAAATCACGAAAGAAATCCCAGTCAGCTTTAGGGTAGTAGTAGTAGGTGGTGCGATGATAAGGTGAGCCCAAAAAAGAAGTACGAGAAGAAAGATTTATAGAGATCGTTGCATGGTCAGAACCACCTAAGGGAGAAAAGGGAGAAACTGAACATAAGCTAGGGTCAGAGACAAGACATAAGTCAAGGAGTGAAGGTAAATGATTAGGGTTGTCAGGAAAACGAGTCACAAAGTTAACTATATGAGTAAGAGATTGAGAAACGCAGAAGTTAAAGGCTTTAGTGCCAGTAGGATCAGTGGTGTTAGAGCCAAGCCATTCATTTATTGAATTGGTTCGGTTTTGGTTAGGGGAAAAATTAAAACATGATTTTTTTTTAATTCGTTGAAACATTTTTAAAATTGTATACTAAATAAATTAAAAAAAATCAAATTTTTTTTTTTTTGAGTAATTATGGTTTTTATATAAAATATTATAGACTAATTTTTATATAAATAAGTATACAAATTTTAATATAATTATTCCTATAAGTTTATATATTTTCATACTCTCAAAAAAAAAATTTAAGATAAATTTGGCGCTTTAGTCGCCTTGGCGCCTGGGTGAAAATCACCCGTTGTACCTGCCTTACGCCGGGCCTGTATATATATATATATATATATATATATATATATATATATATATATATATATATATATATATATATATATATATATATATATATATATATATATATATATATATATATATATATATATATATATATATAGTATATATATATATATATATATATATATATATATATATATATATATATATATATATATATATATATATATATATATATATATATATATATATATATATATATATATATTTATATTTATATTTATATATATATACAGTACTGGACAAAAGTCTGAGACCAAAGGTTGAAAAAGACTAAAAACTGATTTTAACCATAAAATTTTATTCAATGAACAACCATGTCAATTTTTTCCAATATAATTAATATTAGTAATTCAACATAATTCAGAACACAACAATTTATTGTCAGCATCACTGATGATGTGAGGAAAACTGATGAGTAATACAATTGTCATATATTTAGTATGTTGCACGCATAAATTCTTTGAACTTTTTATGAACCATGCACTATATTATTCGGTTTTGCGTTGATATTTGCGTTAGTTTATTACTGCGTGATGGCAAATTATAGATTACGTAATAGTTTATAGCAGATAATAAACATGAGCAAAGATCTGGTAGACCAAAATGTACCTCTATGCAGACTGACCGCTTGATTCATCGCACTTGTACTAATTCTCCAATGTCATCATCCACAGTAATACAACACAACTTGCCATCCTCTGTTACTGTTTCCTCCAGAACTATCAAACAAAGACTATCCTCTGATTTCAACCTGCATGCCCGGCGTCCTTCCATTAAACCTAGGCTTTCTAGCAAGAACATCAAGGATTGGATTGCCTTTTGTCAAAAGCACAAAGACTGGACAGCGTTGGATTGGGCGCGAGTAATGTTTTCAGATGAAAGTCAAATAAAGCAGTTTGCTCCTCTTCATTCTTTTGTTTATTGACCTGTTAATCAGCGACTGAATCCCAAGTACACCAAATGCAATGTTAAACAGTGCCAATCAACCATGGTTTGGGCTTCAATTTCAACCAGAGGACAAGCAGGTATTTGGTTCATGCCTCCTAAAACAACCATTAATGCCAATGAATATCTGAAAATTTTGAAAAGCAATTTGCTTCAGTGGCTGCCTTTTTCTGATTGTACAATCTTCCAGCATGATGGTGCACCATGTCACCGGGCAAAGGTGATTACTAAATGGCTTACTGAGAAAAATATTCAGGTACTTTCTCCTTGGCCGGAATCCTCGCCTGACTTAAATCCAATAGAGAATTGCTGGCATCTGTTAAAGAAAAAGGTAGCCGCTCTAAAGCCATCATCATATGATGATTTGAAAAAAAAAATAATGTTGATTTGGTCCAATGAAATCTGATCAATTCTATGCCCAGGAGAACTACTGCTGTGCTAGCGGCTAAAGAAATGCCCATAAAAAACTGACATGACATGGACATTTTGTGTTTATGGTTAAATCAGTTTTTAGTCTTTTTCAACCCTTGGTCTCAGACTTTTGTCCAGTACTGTATATATATATATATATATATATATATATATATATATATATATATATATATATATATATATATATATATATATATATATATATATATATATATATATATATATATATTGTTGTTTTGTTTTTAATTTTTTTTTGTGAACGTAATGTTTTCTTCTTCATCAGACGTATTTTTCTTAAGGATAAATATTAGTTATGTGACTTACGCTTTTATCATTGGTTTAACTTGGGCAACTGTGTTTTTTCCCGGTAAACATTGGACAACAGTGGTTATTTAAAAGTTGCCCTTTCTTTTCAATTACCATATAACCTAAAAACATTAAAATAGCTTAGTACTAAAATATCATTAAAAAATATAAGACTTGAAGATTTCAAAAAGTGGACATGTGTGGTTTTATCCGTGTGATCTTCATATACATATAAACATATTTCATCATATACATAAAGACTTTTCAATTCAGATTAGCATGCTAGTAAGAAGGTGTTACGTTTTTTTAAAAAAGAAAATTTTAGCGGAGTGAATTAAAACTTTTTACTAAATAAATTTTAAGTTTATTTAATTGAGATAATGTTAAGTTATAAAAGATCTATTCGAACGTATAATTTTAGATTTTACAAACTTTTTTTAGAAAATTTATTTTCACGCGAAAAACTACTTCGCCAAATTCAACAGTATTTTTTACAAGATGCAAACAACTCAACTTTAGTATTATATGGAATGTCAGGTGTCGGAAAGACACATATTGCCAGAAAATATTGTGAAATATCTTATAACTTCTATAAAAACTTTGTTTGGATTGATGCAACATTTGGAATGTTACAAACTTCAATGAGAAACCAATGTCAAATATTAGGATTTGAAGTTCATGATTCGAAAGGTGATTATTTTAATATAAAAGTGATTGCTGAAAAAATTCACAACTTTTATAAAAATGAAAAAACTTTGTATATTTTTGACAATGTTGACGATGAAAGTGTTAAAAATTTATCAATGTACATTTCAAGAAAACCGAATTCATTCACGTTGATTACCTCCCAATGGAGAACGTGGTCGAATAATGTAAATAAAGTGCTAGTTGATGTTTTTTCTTCTGAAGAAGCATTTGCTTATGTTAAAAATAATGTTAAAGAAAACTCTGATGAAAACATAAAAAACTTAGTTAAAGAACTTGGATATCATCCTTTTGCTGTTACTCAAGCAATAAAATATATAAAAATACATAAAATTTCGATAGAAAAATACATAGATCGATATAGATCAAAACCATCAGAAATATTAGACAATAATAACTTTCCAACAGAAGAAGAATCAAAGTCGACAATAAAAGTAATTAACTTAGTGTTAATAAAATTAGAGAAAACTAAACCTTTTCTATTTAAACTATTAAACTGTTTATCTCATTGCGACGGTCAAAATATCAGTAAACAATTTATAATCCAAATTTCAAATCACATGGAAATAAACGATGAATATTTAATAGATGAAGCCATTGGATTACTAATGAGTTATTCTTTACTAAACTGTTTCGAAAATAAAAAATATTCGATACACGAACTTACACAGTTGACATGTAGGTGTTTTCAAAAAAGAAATTCAAGTACAAATACGTATCTTGATTTAGTCGAAAGTTATTTTAAAGTTAAAATGAACGAAGTAAAAGATCACGTGGATTATGGATATCATTTTGTTTTTCATTTCATCTATATGTTTCGTACTAATATAAAAAAAATTTCAAAAAGCTTTCATTGTATGACGACTTCTATTCGAAAGTTATTAGTATGTAAAGGTTTATTTAAAGAAGCGATCAAAATATTAAAAGCTATTCAAAATTTTAATACAGAAACTTACGGTGAAATTAATGAATTCACGCTTGATACAAAAAAAAACATCGCAATATGTTTCAACTATATGGGAAAATATAACGAAGCTTTAGAAATTTATTATTCTATTGATAAAATACGAACTGAAACTTTAGGTATCAACCATCCGGATATAATGGCAACAAAACATAATATCGCATTCTGTTTGAACAAATTGGGAAAACATAACGAAGCTTTAGAAATTTATTATTCTGTTGATAAAATACAAACTGAAAATTTAGGTATCAACCATTTGAATACAATGACAACAAAAAACAATATCGCCTTCTGTTTGAGCAAAATGGGAAAATATAACGAAGCTTTAGAAATTTATTGTTCTGTTGATAAAATAGAAACTGAAATTTTAGGTATCAACCATCCGGCTACAATGGCAACAAAACATAATATCGCAAGCTGTTTAGACGATATGGGAAAATATAACGAAGCTTTAGAAATTTATTATTCTGTTGATAAAATACGAACTGAGTTTTTAGGTATCAACCATCCGGATACAATAGCAACAAAAAATAATATTGCAGGCTGTTTGAACAAAATGAGAAAATATAAAGAAGCTTTAGAAATTTATTATTCTATTGATAAAATACAAACTAAAATTTTAGGTATCAATCATCCGTCTACAATGGTAACAAAACATAATACCGCACTCTGTTTGAACGATATGGGAAAATATAACGAAGCTTTAGAAATTTATTATATTGTTAGTAAAATAGAAACTGAAAACTTAGGTATCAACCATCCGGATACAATGACAACAAAAAATAATATCGCACTCTGTTTGAACAATATGGGAAAATATAGCGAAGCTTTAGAAATTTATTATTCTGTTGATAAAATACGAACTGAAACTTTAGGCATCTACCATCGGGATACAATGGCAACAAAACATAACATTGCATTCTGTTTGAATAAAATGGGAAAGTATAGCGAAGCTTTCGAAATTTATTATTCTGTCGATAAAATACAAACTGAAATTTTAGGTATCAACAATCCGGCTACAATGGCAACAAAACATAACATTGCAAGTTGTTTGGACAAAATGGGAAAATATAATGAAGCTTTAGAAATTTATTATTCTGTTGAAAAAATACAAACTGAAATTTTAGGTATCAACCATCCAAAAATAATGACAACAAAACATTGTATCGCACTTTGTTTGAATAATATGGGAAAATATAAAGAAGCTTTAGAAATTTATTATTCTGTTGGTAAGATACAAACCGAAATTTTAGGTGCCAATCATCCGGATACAATGACAACAAAACATAATATTGCAAGCTGTTTTTACTATATGAAAAAATATAATGAAGCTTTAGAAATTTATTATTCTGTTGATAAAATACAAACTCAAATTTTAGGTATCAACCATCCGGCTACAATGGCAACAAAACATAATTTTGCAAGCTGTTTGAACAAAATAGGAAAATATGACGAAGCTTTAGAAATTTATTATTCTGTTGAGAAAACACAAACTGAAATTTTAGGTATCAATCATCCAGATACAATGTCAACAAAACATTGTATTGCATTCTGTTTTAGCAAAATAGGAAAATATAACGAAGCTTTAGAAATTTATTATTCTGTTGATAAAATAAGAACTGAAATTTTAGGTATAAACCATCCGGCTACAATGTCAACAAAAAATAGTATCGCCTTCTGTTTGAGCAAAATGGGAAAATATTGCGAAGCTTTAGAAATTTATTATTCTGTTGATAAAATACGAACTAAAATTTTAGGTATCAACCACCCCGCTACAACGTCAACAAAAAATAATATCGCATTTTGTTTGAACAATATGGGAAAATATAACGAAGCTAAAGAAATTTATTCTGTTGATAAAATAGAAACTAAAATTTTAGGTTTCAACCACCCAGCTACCATGGTAACAAAAGATAATATTTCAAACTGTTTGAATAACTTAGAAAAACAGCAAATGAGTTGTTTAATTATCTGATTATTATTTCAGTTTTAATATATATGAAGTTTAAAGTTTAAACTGTTGATTAAAATTTAATTGACAATCATTTTTCCTTAAAAGATAGAAAACTTCGTATTTAGTTCTTGTAAATAATATCTTAATTTTTATTAACAGCCTTTTTAAATAAGAAAAATAAGATTGCAATTTAAATGAAAAGATATATATATATATATATATATATATATATATATATATATATATATATATATATATATATATATATATATATATATATGTATATATATATATATATATATATATATATATATATATATATATATATATATATATATATATATATATATATATATATATATATATATATATATATATATATATATATATATATATATATATATATATATATATATATATATATATATATATATATATATATATATATATATATATATAAGCCTGGGTCTACTTAAAGTCGACAGCAATCATTTTTTACACCATAAGTCGACATAAAAAGTTTTCTTTTTTAATTCATTTTTCACTAACAGATGTTGCGTATAGAAAAAAAATTTAAGTGATCAATTAAGCGCCTTTTTAAAAAGAAATAGAAAATTTGTCGACTTAGCGATTTTAACGCATGCACTTATATTTCAACTTGACGTCGTAGAAATAGTATAAAATAAATTTTATACACATATTTTTAAGTTTATTTGTAATTTTTACATATATTTATATTAAAAAAATTTATAAAAACATAGAAATATTAAATTACATATATATATATATATATATATATATATATATATATATATATATATATATATATATATATATATATATATATATATATATATATGTATATATATGTATATATAGATGGACTCTCATTTACCTATGTGTGTATATATATGTATATATAGATGGATCTCATTTACCTATGTGTGGTTGGTTACGAGTTGTTTGTAGTCTGTTGAAACGAAGAGTTGTCAATTTGAAAAAAGGCTGGGATGATGAAATTTGTGATGAAAATATAAAAAGTGTTCTTTGAGAAATGTATGATGAGGTTGAAAGTTGCGAGCCTGCTTGTGGTGATTCGGCTCTGGAGGGTAATGAGGGAAAAGTATGTGCTAATGCAAGTTCTTTAGCTGATGAGTGCATTAGTTCAAGTTGTTAATACGATTTTGGAAGAGGCAACATGGCTGTAAAAAGAAAAGTCGGACGTTCATAGAAACACGGCAGAGTTAGACGCGGCGCTACAAGGACTAAATATGGCTTTAACGTGGAAACTGAAAAAACGAGAGTTTTTACAGACTCTGCAGCAGTATTCTTTAACAGTATTTTTACCTTATAGTGCGACAATTAAAGCACCTGTAAAGAGATAACCACTTTAAATAATTTAATAAAAATTGGCACAAATGTAGCATATGACCAACCAAACTCTGGATAACGTAACCGGATTGGTTAACTGGTTAAGGATTTAAGGCAGTTTAATTTATATTCTGTTAGCTTTTTATTACATATACCTCAAACGTTGCTGATTACTGTGATATTCAGTCACTATTTTTAAAATAATGGTTACATGAGTGTTCTACTATATAATACCAACAATTTTTGTTATAACTGTTTTATTGCTACAACTACCATTTTGATTTTATTGGCAAAAGTATTGATTTGCTATTTAAAACGCGGTTTAAATTGGCAATTATGTATTGTGTGAAAATATTAGCATTTTCTAAGGTATAAACTACTGTCAAAATGCATGAAAATGTTAAAAATGGTTGAAAAGCTTATACAAAGATACCTTCATAAAAAAAATTTAAAAACTCACAATGTTCACCACCTTAGATGTGAGAATATCTAAGGTGGCAAACCTTATCAATACTTTAAAATTTTTTTTCAGAATGGCCAAAAAATTAGCAACTCAATATAGCAGCCAAAAAATATTTCTCTCTACGCTATAAAAACAGTTCTTTACAATTAATTTTATACTTAATTAACATTGGTACACCTAATGAATCTATTAATTCAATTTAAGATATTGGTATAGTCGTACCTTTAAATATAAAGTTTTGTAATCACTTTGCTTTCATTGCAAGCAAGGCACATTTTTGTACTTACTTACTTTTAAAATCTTTTATCAGTAACAATGACAAGCTTCTGATCAAAGCCTATAAAGGTATGTTCGACCTATCATAGAATCTTGTATCTCTGTTTATCTTTTAAATACGATATAAAATATTTTTAAGACACCTTTCCAAGCAGATCGAATATGCTAACTGTATGAGACAAAGATCAATATCAGTGACTCTCAGGTACCATAAGGACTTTGCAAATTGTGTGGAATAATTTTGTGAATGAAACAATGAATAAAAGAAGTTAAACTACCTCTTTTTTTAATTTCATTTTAATACAAATGAGACCTGAAACAAAAGCACGATATGTCATTGCCTAATCTGCAATATTGGTTGTTCAATGCTGCAAGATAAACATTCTTTTGAAGAGCAAATCATCATTGAGAAAATACATTGAGAGGGTACGTTGCAGCACATGTCTATGTCCTTTAGAAAAAAGTTTGCCTCACCAATGTTAAAAATAAAGTTTATGGAAAACCGTCATCTTTAAAAAAAGAGACAAAATAGATTTACGGTAGTATACTTTTAACAAAATTTTAATCACTTTAAAAACAAATAACTTGAGAGTTTTAAAAGTTTTTAAAAGTTTTTAAAAGACGAGTTTTTGTTGCGGTATCAGAGGATTTGCTAGAGACTTACACCAACATTGAACAAATCTGGTCACTAATTAAAGCAAATGGAGTTAAATTAAATCTGGTTTGCAATATGAAAGTTGAAAATATAGGTTGCGGCCTTCAAACCCATTTAAGTAAGTCAGTACCTTGCTAAATATAGAAACTTGCGATCACTGGACTTAATAAAATCTAGCCTCGAGTTTTTTCAGCAATCTGGCGGTGTTTTTGCTTGTGCAAAGTTGTTTGGCAATGTCTTTTAAAAGCCTATCACCAGTGGAACTGACAATTTTCTGCGTTCATAAATAATTCCACCGATGGAATTGCGTTTCTTTAAAGAATTTTTTAATATATATATATATATATATATATATATATATATATATATTATATATATATATATATATATATATATATATATATATATATATATATATATATATATATATATATATATATATATATATATATATATATATATATATATATATATATATATATATATATATATATATGCCAAATCAACACAGTTGAACCAAATAATACCAAAAGATGTAAGCCAAATGGAAATCCAATACAGTTGCGCCAACTAACCCAAAATGCTGTTAGACCAACTGCAAAGTGTGGTTAGTACAATTTCAAATCCAATACTATTTCGCAAACTAATGCAAAGTGCAGTAGACCTAGTCGCAAATGCAGTCGCGCCAACTAATGCAAAACGTTACTGGTTCAACTGCAAATGCAACATAGTTGCACCAACTAACGCAATATACAGTTGGCCCAATGGAAAATCCAATGCAGTTCGAACAACTAAAATTCGGCCAACTGAAGCAAATTGTTATTAGCCTAACTGCAAATCTATGCTGTCGGCCCAACAATACTGGCTGCTTAAGCAGATTGTATAACCAAGTTCATAGTGGTCACATGGCAACAATTTTTGTGGTACAACAATTTATTTCAAAAACCAAAAAGAAGAAAAGGAAAAATATCTTGTTCAAAGAATACTTTATAGGGTCGAGATTTTCTCTCACAATAATGAGGTTAAGATCTACTGCTTATTTCTATGCCAAAAGCTTGTGTCGACGTCATTTTTTACATTTTTTAAAATAATGAGATACTTAGCTGATGATATGTCCAAATATTAGGCTGATGATATAAATGAGGATATTTCTTCGCCTCGTTGCAATTTTCTTATTATTTTTAACAAAGTATGGCCCAAAATACTTACAAAAAGAGGAGTGGTTGTAAATGCCTTTTATCATTGTAGTTTGTATCCCTTAAGAAATACAGTGAAATAATTTGAATTCAAAAGAACAGAGATGTTTTATTAAACTAACTAAAATCGCCGCATTGTTCTCATTACATCACCAGATAAAGTTTTTAAAGAAACCTCTTGCTAAAAAGTTTCGGTTTAAAAGGAACCACCTGCTAAAAAGGCTGCATTCAAAAATGTAGTCAGTGTTAAACAGAAGTCAAAAAAATAAAAACTCATTAAAAAGAAAAAAGAAAAACTAAAAAGTTTTTTTTTTCCCAACTGATTATAATCATCCGAGTATATCTAGTAGTTTTAAACTAAAAAACCGAGACTTTTTGTTTGTGCAGCTGGTTAGGAAGAAGCAAATGAAGATTGGTTTCTATGTTTAAATTGTAATCAGTGTACAATGTGAATGATGTTTTGCATGTGAAGGATGGTTTGGAGTTGGTACATATGGTAATTGCGTACTAAAGTCTTTAAAAGTCTTGTAAATTAAGTTATAATATTAGTTTAAATATTACGTAGACATATTTAATGTTACGTAGACATATTTTTTGTTAATGCTTTAATGTAGTATCTTGTGTGTTAGCATAGTGAGACGGTTTTGATTTATGTCAAAATCATTATTTGATATTTTTCAGAAAAAAAATTTAACAATTGACGCCCTTTAGACGTTTTGAAGATCAACATTATGAAGGTGTTCCCAGAATTCCTATACGGTTTTATCAAAGAGACCGCGGAATGACATTTAACAAGGAAGTTCACGCCTTTTTACTTACCAATGTTGCTTACCGGGCTTAAGCCGGAATTAAACCTCGGACCTCTGGTTCTGAGCTAGAGCTCTAACCACTGCGCCATGGCTGCGTTAACTTTCATTAATTTTATCATAACATAACTTTAAACTGAACGAATAATTACGATGAATATTGAAAATGTTGTCTCATCAATGTTGACTCAACAGTAATGAGTCAACATTGACAAGATTTTATTTTTTTTGCTAGCTTTTTATTTTTATTAGCGCAACTCGCACATCCTTAAAAAACGATTTCGCACTGAAATTAAAAAAAAATATATGAATGGAGAGTCAACTTTAGGCTAGAAATTATTTAATTGACTAAGCAAAGAAAATATTTTTGAAACTTACAATTATTTATAATAATATTTCTGGTGCTAAAATTTTTGTTTTGCGAGATAATTTATAACAACATTTATAACAATGGCTGAAAACCTTTAATACTGCAGAGTATTTTCGTACAGGTAAATATTTGAGAAAAATAAAAGAAAACCCGTATTAAATGAAATTAACATAAATATAAAACTAACAAATATCTAATATCAATAAATAATCTAATAACAATAAATATCAATGAATACTTTAAAACAAATTATTTCTTTTTATACATTGACTTCAATTTAATTATTTGTTCTTCGATTCTTGATAACTCTTCAAAGAAATCATCTTTATCTGATTTTTTCTCTTCGTTTTTATTACTGTTTAAAATCACACTTAAAGAAATATCTTTGCTACATCTTTTCTTGTACACAAACTGAACAACATCTTTCATAGAAAGTGCAAAAAGTACGGATAGAGTGACAATTCCTGGAATAAGCATGCTACTCGTTTTTAAACATTCATATAAGTTTTGTGGGCTCTCGCTATCTATCTAAAATTAACGAGTATTAAACGTTGTTCATAAATTTATATAGAATTATAGAATTTAAATTATATATATATATATATATATATATATATATATATATATATATATATATATATATATATATATATATACATATATACATATATATATACATATATATATATATATATATATATATATATATATATATATATATATATATATATATATATATATATATATATATATATATATATATATATATATATATATATATATATATATATATATATATATATATATGTATATATATATATATATATATATATATATATATATATATACATATGAACTATGGGTTTGATGACTTCGGAATATACCACAATATTTTTATATAGAGCGTTATTACACAGAAAACGATGTTAAAACGTTTGGTGCAATAATCTCGATTTTTCAATTTTTGCGATTACTGCGTTTTTTCTTAGGACGGCAGTATATATATATATATATATATATATATATATATATATATATATATATATATATATATATATATATATATATATATATATATATATATATATATATATATATATATATATATATATATATATATATATATATATATATATATATATATATATATACATATACACTACCCGACAGGGGTAGTGTATATGTATATATATATATATATATATATATATATAACCACAGGGGCGGATGCAGCATTTTTTGATGTTTGAGATACCTAACTTACAGACATGGAGCAAACTCCAAAAATTTAAATGTTTATACTTATATCAAATAAGGATGCTTTGCAAAAAGTTGCAATGATTGGAGCCTGGGAACAAAAAAGCCCTAAAATGTTAGCTACACTTGCCCCAAACGTGAGAGCAAGAAGTTTATAAAATAATTTTTATACTATTCTTAACTAAATTTTCATCGACAAATTTTAAAATTCACACAAAAATCTTTTAGCGTTCAAAAACTATGACAATAAAAAGTTTTAACCCCCCTCAATTTAAGAGGGTTGCAAATTTTATAAGGCCATAACTGTTGAACGCTAATAGATTATTGTGTGAGTTTTATAATTTATCGATGAAAATATACTTGGTTAAAAATAGTAGAAAAAATATTTTATCAACTTGTTGCTCTCACGTTTGGGGCAGGTGTAGCTAATATTTTAGGGCTTTTTTGTTCCCAGGCTCCAATCATTGCAAGTTTTTGCAAAGCATCCTTATTTGACATAGCCATAAACATGTTAATAATGTTTGGATTTGCTCCATGTCCGGAAGTTAGCTATCTTATTAAAAAATCTATAAATTTAAAGATATTCATAAAAAAATGTATGAATTCAAAGATAAATCATAAAAAATGTATAAACTCAAAGGTAACCATAAAAACAACCATCCTCTATTACATAATCTAAAGACTGGTTTATATGAAAACTAATGTTACATTGATTCTTGCTTAGGATGATGAATAATAGATCTTTGTGGCAAGCTTTACGTGGCTAAAGCCATTGCTCAATTAAAGTCGTTTACAATTTTTAGTTTAGACAACAATCCTGTCATAGTCTAACAAAAGTCTTCTCCAGAATTCCCTCTAAACTATTTATAAGTGTTTGACTGAATCTTGCTTTCTTGCCTGCAGTTTAATGGTATCTGTGCTCCAATTTTTAAAAATTTTAGAGAACGCTCTGCCCCTCAACTATCATCAAATCAGTCTTCTCTCTATTATTAGCTAGGTCTTAGAGTCTTTAGTAAACAGATTTCAAACATCATTTCTAACATTTATTAAGTCTAATAATTTACATTCTGACAATCAGCATCAATTTCGATCTTATTTTTCGGCTAACTTATTACCTGGTTTAACTGAAAGTTTTTATCATGCATTAAATGGAGTTTGTGAATAAAGCAAGGCAAGGACTATTGCTTTTGACATATCAAAAGCTTTCAATAGAGATTAACATGCTGGTCTTTTACATAAGCCTGCTTCATATAGTGCGTCTAAGTAAGTTTTTGAGATCTTTCAACCTCTTTAACAATATTCTTTGTTTTCTAGTAGCTCCCAACTTAATAGTGGTTGCTTTCAGCCTTGTCGAGAGTTCAACAAAAAAAACTTATTTTTCTACTCTTAACAAAAAACAAGACAGAAAAAAAAATTGTAGATGAATTAAACAACTTTAATTCTCATCACCTTCACAATTACTAGCAACACATCTGATAAAGATATGTCCACAATTCATAAATGAGCCACTGTACACACTGTCCACAGTGATTTCTTTAGAATTACTGCAGAATTTTTTCTGTCTACACTGTCCACACTACAATCACTGTACACAGTGATTTCTTTAAAATTACTGCAGAATTAATTTGGAGCTTGGTGACAAATTGTGCCTTCTACTTGACTCGGACATCTGTATTTATATTGATATATTAAGTGTATTAATATTTTTTTTGTATTCATATTATGCAGCATAATATGAATAAAAAAAACAATATTTTAACAACACCCTCTTTAAATAGCTTTCAAAGTTTTATTACAGCATCTTTAATAATATAAGATGCCAGACTACTTATCAACTTCCAAACTGCTACAAAAGCAGTTTTGGAAGTTGATAAAGCATATGCAAATAAAACCTTGATTAGCTCAATTTATCAGACTATCGGAAATCTTGATTAGCTGAAACTAGGATTTGCTATTCAATAAACAACAAAAGTTACCACTATTAATACAATTTTTATTGAATGATTTTAAATAAGAACAACATTATTTTATAAATAATTAAAAATCGTAAAATATACAGGACATTGGTAACATGTAGAATGCATATATCCAGAAATTTTGAATAAGTAAAGTAAGGAAATAAAGTGAGAAAAAAGGGGTTGGGGCTTGTAAGCATCAGTTTAAACATTGAATGGTTTAGAGAGAATATGCGATATAATCATTATATTGCCCTGATACTGCAAATATATTTCTTGGAAAAAAACCCTTAAATATGGCTTAGAAATTTGTTTAAAAAGAGATATAAAAGTTTTCTATTATATAATGGATGTTATTAGAAGATCAGTAATAGAGTTCCACCTTAGTTTATTATAATACACCAAACAGTCTATTTTCTGTCTATTTAAAGACTTGTCTATTATCCTCATTTTAAACAAACTAAATTTGTATATCAAACTAATGAAGAATCAGACATTTTTTCCCCTGATGCTTAAATATCTATGTTAATAAAGGGTTTTTTTTTTACAGTTTTTCTTTGACAACAAAGAAGAGAGTTGAATAACAAGAAAGAAAAAAAAGGAGATGTTCAACTTTAAAAACTTGTAAGCATAAGATGTTTTCAAACCAAAATCAGATCAAATAACAAGAAGTAAAAGAAATCAGCTGAATGACAAGTCACAAAAGATTGAGTTATGGTTGATGGAACAAATGATGATGTTATGTCAGGACTGAAATACAAAATTGTGTTATCAGCATATAGAGCCTCTTTAGAAAGGTAGACAAGGCAGAGTGGTTAGAGCGCTTGCTTTATAAATAAGAGATCTATAGTTCCAAGCAAATTCTGGGCATATTTCGCTCCTTCAGTAATGAAGGAGAAACTTCCTAGTTAAATATTCTTCTGTGGTGTTCTATGGTGTTCTGTGGTGTTCTATGGTGTTCTATGGTATTTTATGTGGTATCTCAGATGCTACTAGAATTAAAAAATAAAAACAAATTAATCAACTTTATGAATTGAAAGAGAGGTTATGTAATAATGACAACTTTAATATTGTATTTAGAATGTTTCAACAGCTTTAAAAACTTTTCTAGATAGGGAAAGTGGAGGCATAACCGCCCCCGTAAAGTTTGGAACAATGTTAGATGAAGATAAAAATGAAATTTTTTTACTAATTTACTTCCATAACCACATCATTAAGCTTTAAATTGATGCAATTAAGAAAAAAATTAAACGGTTTTTGAAAATTTTATTTTACAAAAAGTACAATTAGTGAAAAAAACGGTTTTGCCTCCATTGTGAGGCACAACCGCACCCTCATAAAAATCGTTCGGGCTACACCTTTCATGGTACATTTTCTTTACAATTTTCACAGCTCAGATTATTTGATGATTTTGTTGCATGTTTGCATAATTTGCGGGCATTCTTTATATTTACATTTTGAGTTCTGCTCCAGAAGAGAGTTCTGCCCCAAAAGAGAATTTTAAGAAAGAATTCAGTTTCATAGCTTGCTTATTAGATTATGCTGATATCAAAAATGGTTTTCACTTGATGAAATAATGCTGATAACACAAGTCTTTAACACTAAAATCAAATATTGCATAATTCTCAAAAAAAAGGTCTGCAAAAATATGATGTAAATATAAAATTTTCATCAAAATAAACATTATTATGCACAATTTCTTAGAAACGTAACAAGCACACTTTTTGACATATGCAAAATGAAGGAAACTGTTTTACTAACGTGTTTATGTTTTTTACCATATTAGATAATATTTTTCTAGGGGAAATGTTAAAAAACGGTTGTGCCTCCTTATGCGGTTATGCCCCTACTTCCCCTACACCATTTGAGATGAGCTTACAGAGAAATCAAGCATGTCAGACTTTATTAAAAGCCTTGGATATAGGTGCAAACATTTAATCCTAACTCATTTTCTACCATTGTAAATCACTTATTTGTTTTTGTATAGTATACTGTTGTCATTTTCTTCTATTGATAATCTTTACCTTTCCAACATTGTTCAAAAGTGCATTAAAAATGTTGTTGGACTTAATCAGCTGCCAAGTTTGACCCTTTTTTCTTTAGTTGTAAAGTTCTCTTTCATGTTGCATGTTTTTCACTGCTTTTATAGATGTACAGTTATATATATACAACCCTCGGAATTAGGGTCGGCATTCGGCAATGCTGACTTAACTGCCAACCTGATAGTGTTTGAGGTTTGCAAAGAATTGCCAACCTACGTTTCTATGTTTTATGTTAAGAATTTTGTATCAAATAATTTTTACCGACCTTTAAAAGATTAAGGTTGGCTAATTATTGCCGACCTCCTTTTTTGTAATTCCAAGGGTTGTATATACATATACAGTTTTATAGGAAGTGAGTTTGATTTAAAAGTATAAACTCATACATAGTTATACGTATTAATTCATATAAAAATTGTTTTTTTAAAACATTAATAACATCATGTTTGATTATACATATAAATATTATTTTCGTCTTTAATATTATAAAAGATTTAAATTACAAAATATAAAATTAAATTTCTTAAACACAAAACAATATATCATATAAAAAATAAATATATTGGGGTTAGTCAGAACACATGGTTAGTTAAAACTCTAAACTTTTAAGCAGACTAATGAGCAGTTGTATTAATACAAACAAGTAACCAAGGTTTAAAAAACTAAAATACATACTACTTTGTTGTTGGACCAAATAAATTGTGAAAATTAAGTTCTTTCTCAAGTTTTCAGAGAATTATACTAATGAAAGTAACTTTTTGAGACATTTGTATTAAAATGTAATCTTGTATTATAAAAGATAATCAAAAAATTTCATAATATTTAAGTGGTTTTGCAGCGTTTCATTAAATTGCTTTTTATAGTGTTTTGTGCAAGAGATACCTTATATTAAATTATTTAAGAGTTCCAGGTTAAAAACTTACCTAAACTTATCTGGAAAAAAAAATTAAAAAAAAAAATAAGTATTAACAAAAGAGAAAATAAAAAAAAAAATTAGTTAAAGCAAAAACACGAAAAAATAAATATCATATATAACGCAACTAAAACAAAACTCATTAAACTAAAATGCTTAGTCTATTTAATTTACGCATTAAAAAAACCTTTTCAATCTTTGTTTCAACATTTTTATATATTTTTTATTTGTTTAATATGTTCAAAAGTTAAATATTTCTCATAAAAAATACATAGTTATATAAATATGTTTTAAATTAAAAATATATATACAACTGTCAATCATATTTAAAAAACAAAACTTTTTTTCAGTAAATTGTTACTTTATTTAAAATCGTTTCGCTAATATAAAAACATTTGTTAGGAAGTTTTGATGTAGTTAAAATATTTTTTATTTAGTGATTTTCTAAAATGTTTTTTGAATTAGCCGCGGTCAAACCGTCATAGCAAAATGTAACTTGCTTGGTCATATAAAGACGTGAAATCGCACGTCTTCCTCTGAAAGCTTGCTCATAGAGTATATCTGTTATTTTATAATTAACCATACTAGCAAGCTAAATTAGAATTTAAATCAAGGATCTTATTATTCAGCATGTGTCTTCAGCCATGTAACCTTTTCAATTCAACGCGTTGTTGAAAGAGGCTTTTTTTTTTTATAAAATTGACCACAAGTTTTTTTCACAATATTGACAACAAGGTTGTGGTTTTTAATTTTTTTTGGATTATTATTATTATTAATTTTTGTAATTGAGTTATTATTAGAGAATATTATTAGTGAGCTTAAGTAAGTAATATTTAGGCAATAAAATTTTTTTTTATTATTATTAACATTTTGGCTACAAGGTCAGAAATAAAAAAAAAGTCCAAACTAAAACTGGTCTTTCCTAATACAAATATTTTATAAAAAACTCATGACACTTACAATTGGGATTTTTCCATAAATATTTTGCGCATTTTTTACTATGTCTTTGAAATATTGTTGTTGACATGTTGCATAACTATCTTTTGATGAACTAGCCATCAGACTAGTGTTATTACCATAAACTATAAAAACAGGTGTAACAGCATTTATAATCTGTACAAGAACAACATTTGGATAAATTTCTTTAAACTTCATATTTATCAAAACATCAATATTGATAACTCCATAATCAACTTGACTTTTTTCTACGGCTTGGACCACATCATAGTAGGAACTGTATGCTATTTAATAACAAAAATATTTGGTGGAGTGTCAACTAATAATTAAAATAAATAATTATGAAAATTTCTTTGAAAATATCAATAAAGTTGTATTATATTGATTTATAAAGGAAAAGGTTGCTCATGACATTATCAAGTCTACAAAAAAAAAAAAAAAAAATTAAAACTGCATAATTTACCAGCATGGTTAAAAGGTTGCTCAAGTCATTTTAAAATTAAGAAGAAACAAAAAAATAACTTATAAGCATGGTTCAACTTTATGGGATTAATAAAAAATACATATAAACACATTTCAAAATAAATGAAGTAAATTAAGAATAAGTATAAAAAATATAAGTAATTTTTAACATTTTAATTTTTAACATTTTAGTATTACACTTAAAAAAAATAAACTTAAATAAAACTTACTTGCAAAATTAAATTTTAAAATAAATTACATGTATTTAAATTTTAACTTCAACGTTTGTTTAACATAAATTGACATAAATAAATAAAAAAAAGTTTAATTATGCATCACCAACTTGCATGATATTGTAAAGTATGCTAAAATATACAAAATTGAAAACAAACTGCTCAAAATACTTTAAACTGCTGAAACATAAACTGAGCAATTAGTATACAGATTTTTACAACATGTATAGAGAACTTGAATTAGATCTACAAATGATGCCGAGTTTGGGTTGGGGCAGCAAGTTTGGGTTGGGGCAGCAATGGTTTTCATTGTTCTTGGTTTTTTTTCGTTTTCTGAAAAAACTGTATGGAATTAAATAAACAAAAAAAATCATTAGCCATTAAAAAATTACTTTTGCTAACAACTTTGTTTCTGTGTGAAATAAATAAACGTTAAAAAAAAATTATTAAAATTATTCAATAATAAAAAACTAAATTGTGATGTAATGATGTCAAACTCAACTACAAAGTCCTACAAAGCATATTACCAAGCTCAACTTGTTTTTCTGTAAAGCAGCCTCATCAGTTTAGACTCCTGCTTTAAAGTTATTAGATAAAATTAAAAAAAAAAGGTAGGAAAAACAAAGTTCATAGTTAAGTCATTGGAAAATTTGTGACAACAAAACTTTTAATACCTTTTAGACTTGAATTGTAATTTTTACGAGCAATCAGAAAATCAATTGAATTATTCAAACCAGCTACCTATAAACGCATTATTTTTAAAAACATAGTAATAATAGCATAAAAATTATATAATAATAAAAAAAAATAATTCCTAGTTATTTTTTTATCATTTGTTCAATATAAATTCCTTTTACAAAAGTAAACTATTCTTTAAAACAAATTCATTTACTATAAAGCTGCAGGTAACCACTGCTTACGTAAGCTGCAGATAACCACTGCTTACGTTAGAAAGAAGTTATGATATATTTATGATAAAGAGTATTATGATAATTTTAAAATAAATTTTGATAACTAAAAGTAAACACACAAGTTAACACAGATGTTTTAACTTAATTAATAAAAGTAAACAATAAATAAAAATTGAAGAGTAAAAGTATAAATTATAATTACACAAGATTGGAAAATTGATTATAAAAGATTATAAAAAAGATTGGAAAATTGTAAACTATACAAATTAAGAAAAACATAAAGAAACAAAATTCCAAAGAATTAATACTTACAGAAAAAAAATGGACTTTGGTAAGTTAAAAGTGAATTTTTGTGAATAGAAAATAGTAAGATAATTTTATAATGATAATAAATTCAAGGTTAGCAGGTAGAATGATATTTTATAATGATAATAAATTCAAGGTTAGCAGTTAAAGCAAATCAACAAGTACTATGCAAAAATCATTTCCATATTTGGACCATATCTTATTAAGAATATCTAAATAACTTTGTTACTCACCTTGTCAATATCTAAATAAAAAAAGGGCCTCGTTAAAAACACACCAAATATGACAATAGTATTTCATAAAAAGACCAATAACAGATTTATAAAGATGGAGAAAATAAGTTCAGCCATTCAATAAAAAACTTCATTCATAAGAATATCAACAATATTCAAATGATTAGCATAATTAGCATAATTAAGTTTAAGAGATAAAGAGATGCAACCTTAGCAGATGCTAATTTTGCAATTGATTAGATATATGGTTTCCTAGAAAGATCGGAAGTAAGAGTTAATCCTAGAAGATGAAGGGTAAATGACTCATCAAGTACATGGCTGTTCATAAACTAATAAGATATAAATTAATCCGATAATTAACTGAATAAAATTAGATCTTATCTAAACTAAAGTTCACCAACCACTGTGAGCCCGATGCTGTAGCAGAAGTGAGACCTTTTTCAAGCTCAAATGCCCCCTCCAAGCAATCAGAGAGTGTTGGCTTCTTATCAAGACAAAAATAAATGTTGGTATCATCAGCGAACGATGCCACCTTAGATGTGAAAAGATCTAGAAGATCGTTAATGTGAATTAAAAAGAGTATAGGGCCAAAGAAAGAACAATCAGAAACCTCTGATGTTACAGGATACGAGGAAGAGTGCTGTCCCTGATGGACAACTTTTATACTACTACGATTGGAAGGAATTTCAATAATTTGAAAGATGTTACCTGATACACCATAAGAAGAAAATTTATGGAGAAGACCAACATGCTAAACTTTATCAAAAGCTTTAGAAAAGTCAAGAGGGACTTAACCTTAACCTCTTCACCTTTATTTAGTGCACAATAAAACCTATTGGTTATTACTGTTAACAAACCAGCTGTAAAACGAGAAGATCAAAATCTATATTAATGATCACAAAGTAAGTTATTAGATTCAACATAAGAAATTAAGTATTTGCTAATCTTTGACTCAAAATCCTTCCTTATGATAGAAAAAAGCTTGGTCATATAAAGACGTGAAATACTTTAAAACTATGTAACAATTCAAACTATCGTCCTAATGGGACGATAGTTTGAATTGTTACATAGTTTTAAAGTATACGACAGCTCCAAAGAACATTTCTGCAAGACTATAACAGGTATTTTGTCCGGAACAAAAATTGTAGAAGAGTCTAAGCAAGAAATTACTTTAGATACAGACGCTGGAGTAATAGGCATGTCAAGCAATGGATCAACCTATTTGTCGGCTTTATCTGGTAGACACAACTGGTGGAATCAAGATACGATATTGATGAAAAGTTCTTAGCAAACAATTCAACTTTGTCTTTAAGTTAGGTGATAAAATCTGAACCGTTCAAGAGAGACGGAATAACAGATTTGCTCTTATTATTGATACTGTTAAAGATTCTCCAAAAGTCATAAGAGCTTAATTTTTGAGATGAAATACAATATTTCATGACCTGAGAGTAGCTGAGAATAGCTGAGAATAGCAAGCTTTGGTGTTAGACAAAACCTTTTTACAATGAATTCTAGCTATAATAAACTGATGTCTGTTTTCTAGAGAATTGCTTTGCTGATAGACGTGGAAGTAATGACTTCAATTAGAAATTACAGCAGCACAATGTGATGAAAACCATGGAGAAGAGTGAGGCTTGACTTGGAATTGTCAAGAGGGAATAAAAGATTCATGCCAGCCTGAATCCAAGAAGTTATGTAAAAAGCATATTTTCAGCAGGAAGATAAAATATTTCTAACCAAGAGCCATCATGAAATATATCACGGAAAGAATCCCAGTCAGCATTAAGGTAGTTGTAAGAGGTACAATAATTGAGGGATTCTGATGATAAAGAAGAATGAGATAATATTTTTAGAAAGATCAAACCACGATCAGAAGCATCTAAGGGTAAATGTGGAGAAACTGAGCACTGACTAGGATTAAAAACAAGATATAAATCGAGTAAAAAAAGCAAATGATTCTGATCATCTGGAAAGCAAGTTGAAAAGTTGACTTGTTGTGAGTTGAAAGTTGAGTTAGAGATTGAGAAAGGCAAAAGTTGTTTACTGACATTTGAGTCAAGCCACTCGGTGTGATGAGCATTTAAGTCACCAACAACAACGATATTGGCTAATGGATAAGGAGAAAAAGCTAGGAAACTTTGATCAGAAGCATCAAAAAGAGCGCAGTCTTAAGATGTAGGAGAGCGATATAAAACAAAGAGAAAGGCAATAGAATGAAGTGGTGCTAAACAAAAGCACATAAAAGAATAGTAGGTGAATTCAAATCTAGTTTCCTGACAAATGGGTGAATTCTTTAAAATGTAAATGCCCAGGCCAGTCATGTGACTATTGAAGTCTTTATAAACTAACGGAAGATAACCATCTACACTAAGATCACAAATAAGACAGCCGAACACAAATTAGTCTCACAAAGAGCAAATAGGTCTGGCGAACTTTGCAAGAAATAAGATGGTGATGATGATGGCATTTTGTGTTTTATAGTTTTTGGTACTTTAGCCATTTTTAAATTTGTTAAAGAAATTTATTTAAGACATAGATTGTTTTCAAAACACTATTTAAAAATTCAAGCAGTTGCCTCATTACAATTAACAAACCATAACAAAGAGCTCCAAATGTGGCCTTGACAATGTACACTAAAAGAACAGAGACTCCATTTATGCACAACATGGCAGTGTTAGTATTCTGATATTTTACAGTTGTTGATGGAATCAGCCACTCTGAGAGCTATCTGAGTTTTAGAGCTGTACCCTCATTAGGAGTAAATAGAATGAGTTGCCTAGTCATAAAAACAGAGACACAAGCATAACCCATGCTTGAGTCAAGAAGATCCAATATTCAACATCCTAAACAGGAAACAATGTATGATAAATACACCTGCACCAGACGAATAGATGAAGTAGGGGTGCAAGGCTGATCAACAGTTAGAATCTGTTTACCCCTTAGGTCTTTGCCTAGGAGGCCTTCTAAGGCATTAGCCGGATATGTTTAATAACTGCCAATGATGAGTATTTTTATTGAGACACCATCTCTAGCCTTTACTTAACCAAGAGCTCCATGGCAGGTTTTAGGTCAGAGTTGGCTTCTCCTAGATTTTGCCTATTTAATACAAGTAAAAATTATATTATAAAGTCATATAATCATCTAGACTTCTTCTAGATTGAACTTACTTATCATCACACTTTCTCACTCAAGCCATTTAATAATTTAATCGCCACATTTCTTACTACCTCTTAAAGCCTGAATAGGATTCCTTTTGTGATATTTTTTGTGATGGTATGTGGGCTGATATCTTTTGTATCTCCACAAAATATTATACCTCCTACATAGTCTTCTAAATTTAGGAAAGCTTAAAGGCTTGTATTTCTTCTTGTTGGTTTCAGATCAAGCCGCACTTTACTCCTTGTTTTTCTTCTTCTTGCGCAAAGTAATTTCTTTTTGTAATTATCTTTTTCATCCTTTCTATAAGAACAACTCTTAAAAAACAAACAGCATTTTTCTATCACAAGAAATCAATGCAAAAAAGTCTATTGTTAAGGATTAAAGTATTCTAAAATTGCTAAAACTTATATTTTAACATCAACTGTAATTTTAAGCAGGCGTAGCCAAAAGAGCTACTGCTCCGTGCTTGTGTGGAATGATGTGTTATGAAGTGAGATTTCAGATCCGAGAACATAGTCAGCCAGCGCTGATCCGACGTGCATTGTGGAGCTTCCGACTAAATATGTGCGTGAGCGTCAGCGTAGTCATTAGGTTATTGATTGCCATAACCACATCCAGCGGGATAGCCTAATGTTTGTTTTGTTGTTGTGGTGTACATTAGAAAAAGTCGGGGCTCACCAGCCACAAAGAATAAACTTTTTGTTTATGCGACACAAAGATCGCAAAAAGTGACCAACGGAGCCGTCCAGTTATGTAGACCTGGTAGATGTGAAAAAACAGATTGTAGATGATGTCATTTAGGTAAAAAAACACAAATTAATGTAAAGACTATTTAGTAGGAGGAGTAAAAGTTAGCAACTCGGGAGGAGATGAACCATAACTCATACTCTAGTCATTTTTAGCAAATGATAAAACAATGATGTATGACCTTGTTTTCATATCTGATTAATAATGGCACTAGTGATTCCTATTTTTTAAAATTCTGAGAACACCTCTTACCTATCTAGCTATTTAACGTTCAATCATTTTTCATATATCATTAAATATATAATCATATATATATGAATTGGTGAATGTTAAAGATTCAAGTTCACTGGAGGAGTGGGTATCAAAAAGTTATTTAATACATTTTAATGTAAAAAAATTTTAGTGACTGACTCTTATTGCCATTTTCTTAACGCCGTGCGAATGTTAATACTTGCATCAAAATCATGGACATGTAAAAAGGTATCAAGTAACTTTAAAGTGTCTGAGTATCTTGTTTAAACTGCAAGACATGTTAAAAATGAGCAAGTAATTATATCTATTATATAAAGGAACTATATCAATTCTATCGTTGCCAAAGAAAAAAACTTGAAACCCTCATACTCCAGAAACAAATGATCACAACAAATGAAACTTTTATCAAAGTGATGAGTTTTCAAGAAAAAAAAAACAAGAAAAAAAAAATTGTAAATGTTCAGAAAAACCAACCAAAAATATCATCACTACTAAATCTTAATGAATTACAAAAAATTAAAAAAAAAATTATTCCAATCTCAAAGTCAGTTTGTCAATGTGTTGTTCTCTGAAACTTAAGTGGTGCCATACAACTAATGCATCAGGTACTCACAATGCATGTGTATGTATACATCACCAAAAAATAAAATTTCTTATTGATGTAATCAGGTGAAACAAAGGTTATAAAGGTTTTAAGGTTGTTTGTTCTCTTGAAAATGCAGAGTGTATGTTGCAGGCTTGGTCGGGAAGCGGGTGCGATCGCACTCGATAATTGACCACGGAAATAATACTTAGTTGCGAAAAATCGGCCAGGTGTTATTGTCGTTTTGAGAACATTTCAAAAACAAACAAAAAAGCGCAATAAGATTAACTGGACCGATGAGAGACAGTTAAAAAAAGAAAATTAACTTTTAACGCAAAATAAATTTATTAGAGCAATTATTTTTGAAACGTCGCTCTTTTATAATTTTTTTTATAAAATTAGGCGACATTTTTTATATAAAGTAACAACTATTAAGAAACAAATGTTCTTCGATTTATCAGAGAATATATAACTTTTATTTATATACTTATGCCTTACTTCCAGTGGCGGATTGAGGAGGTAAGGTGGGGGTAGTAGGGCTATAGCTCCGGGACTCATTAAGTTAGGGGAATTAGTCAAGAGGACCATTCGGTATTTTTTTAGTCATTTTTACGCTGTGACACATAAAAAAGGCCGCCAAAATAATGCAGCCTCCGGCCCTGAAAAGTCCAACAATTCAAAGTCCAAAGATTCAAGCAATAAAAATAAAGCTAGATGATTTATTTATAAATAAAAGAGTTTTTTCAATAACTGTTTTATGCTTCGTGTAGTTTAAAAAGTTTAACACATTTAAACAATTCTTCTTAGTAAGATGAACAAATGAAATAATTAAATCATTGAGTTACTCTATAAATTCAATTAGCTAGATGGAAATTAACTAAAAACGTTAAATTACTTTGTTAGGAGGAAGCGGAATTGCTTCACAATAACGCCGATGATGTTTAGTAAGTGGGCTTTATAATTTTAATTAGTATTTAAAATTTAAGTTCGCGAATATTCTTTTTTTATTTTTCCGCACTAAGATGTTTGAGAACATTCAAGTTTATGTATGTTTCCTTGTAAGTCCGTAAAACAAAATATTTTAAAAAATTTCTATGATTTTTTTAAAAAGAGGTCGCCAGCTATTTGACGCAATTTTAACACCGTTGTCTTTGTTCAAAAGCGGTGGGAAGTGTCTTATTTCGTAATTTGTTTGGACATAATTAATTTCAAGTGACTCTCTTATTTTCCTTTCATGGTAGTTAGACTTGAATGCGATCGTTTTTGGGTGCATCCAATTTTACGTCTGATGACGGTCTTTTAATTTTACGTCTGATGACGGTCTGAACTATTCAGACTGAAATATTACATAAATAAATTAAAATATTAGTACTTAGCTGTATTGTATGTGTTATAAATTAAATAAATAAATTATCAAGTACTACAAGAAATGTCATTAAAACATAAACTTAGATGTTCTCAAAATAACTAAAAAATCTGGCCGATTTTTCGCAACTAAATATTATTTCCGTGGTCAGTTATCGAGTGCGATCATACCCGCTTCCCGACCAAGCCTGTGTTGCATCAATGTAAACAATGCCCTGGTATTAAAGCATTAAAAAGCAAAAAAAAAAAATCTCTTTTGTTGCATAATTTATGTTTTTGAGTGCTTACTTTGAAATAAAAAGAAACAATTGATGATTGGAAATAATGAAAAAGTGAAACAAAATAAACTTTTGAAAACTTATTATCACTTATTATTATAACTCATTATGTTTTTAAATTTTAATTTTTTTTTTTTCTATTATTTCATTTTATAAAATAATAAAATTAAACAAAATAGGGGATGAGGGGGGGGAGACTTAGACAGAAGCTCCTGAACCTTCTTTGGTTCAAGATTATATATGTCCTAAACTAGTCACTTAATAACAATATATTTATGATTTATTTAAAAAAATGCTTTAAAAAACATTTAAATTGCTTTAACTATAAAATTTTAATTTTTATAAAAGACAAATTGTATGCAAATTTTTATCAAGTATTAAAAATTTCAATTCATGAATCTAAATTTTTTCAGTAGACCTAAGATAAAATAAAAATTAAACTTTTTACACAGGATTTCAGGTGACAGTCGTCATTTTATCTCAAAAATCACTAATTTACAAGTATATTTACACTAATTTACAAGTAAATTTGCACTAATTTACAAGTAAATTTGCACTAATTTACAAGTAAATTTGCACTAATTTACAAGTAAATTTACAAGTAGATAAACAAGACATTTCCTAAGGCTAACAAGTCTTTGAGGGTGCGATTTTTGAATTGCTCAAGTAAAAATCTATTGGGTTAACAAGTTTTAGGAAAATTCCACTAGCTATTATCAAGATATTATATGTTAAAGTTGCTTTGTAGTTGCTTCAGATAGTCACTAAAATGCTGAGTCAGCATTATTTTAACTGACTGATTTCCTCTAGAACCCATGTGTATTTTTAATAAAATCTTGGTAGTTGTTATTTATTTAATGTTGACTGCAAATGAGCTAAACATGAAACAATTCTGAAATGTAAGGGTGTTATGGTCTGGATGATTTCATAAGGAATGACTAAATCAGTACTAAAAATAAATCTTAAATTAGACCTGAATTAAACTCAGTTTTTAAATAGCCCTAGCTCCTCCCAACTTTTTCACTTTTTAGATAAAGTGAAAAAGTTGGGAGGAGCTAGGGCTATTTAGATAAAGCCTTAGCTCTCAGCTTTTTCACTTTTTAGATAAAGTTTAAAAACATAGTGGTAAACATAGTTTAGACCAATTTATTGTGGGCTACATTTTTATAATCATCTCTCATTTATCCTTTATCAAAAAAATTTTTTTCATCTACAAATACCATCATGGCTGCTTGATGTTTCATGTCCATCACCCAAAAATCAATGTTGTGACTTGTCATTTGGCAAAGTCATAATCTTTCAATGCTATTATTCCTTTGTGTTACAAATGAAAATTTAGTGTGAAACGCTTTGGCAAAGAGAGAGATTTTTGATTGTAACAGTTACATAAATATATTACTCAGTTTAAAAAATTTAAAACAAAAAAAATTTAAAATTCTAAAGTTTATAAATTTAAAAATTTATAAACGTTAGAATTTCAAATTATAGCATTTTTTAGATTTCAATAAGTGTTTTAACCATTTTAAAGTTGAAACTATTAGTTATGAAATCAATGTAACAATTTTTAAGAATTTTGTTTCTTTCTAATTTAACTCAAGTATAGAAGGAAAAATTATTTTTAACAAAGTATTTATAAAAGTGTTTCATCTAATTAAAAAAACTTTATAAATATGTGTATAAATGAATTTCTGTTAATTATTTATTGCTTAGAATATTTAAAATTACCTGATTATTCTGTATAGATAAAAAGGAATTAGTAGTAATTATTGAACTAAACGTTCCTGTCAATCCAGAAATTATTAACACTCCAATAATCATCCATAGTATTGAAATAAATCGACCAATTAATGATTTTGGAACTACATCACCATAGCTACCAAAAAAAGTGTTGCTAACTTACTTGCTTTTAAAAAAAACAAATAAGGAACAAAAAAATTAGAAACATACTACAATTTATAATTATTGTGTTATATAAAAAATTAAAAGTTTCAGTTGTTTTAATTTTTAATTTAATTTTAGTGAGATAATCGTATCAAAGTATGTTGTGTTTTATAAAAAAGATATTGATGAAAAATAATTTAAATAATTTAAAAGGTATTGAATAAAAAATGAACTAAATTATTCCTACTAAACTTTAATAATAAATTTATACAAAGAAACAAAAAGACTTGTTATCAAACCTTACTACATTGTTTTCTAAATCTTCATAAGATCATGAACATTTCACAGAATTTAATTACTTTTCACAGAATTTAATTACTTTTCAAATGTAAATAATTCAGCCATCTTGTTATTATTGTTTTTTCTTTTTTACCTTTTTATTCTCCTGGCCTTTTTTTGAATTTCTGTATTTAGTCAATCACCTAAATACTATGGGTTTATTTATGGGTTGGGCATTTATACATTTATAGGTCATGCATTTATACATTTGTAAATATATTCACAAATGTATAAATGCCCAACCCTTGAAAAAATAGTATCTATAAATGTATATATACATTTTATACATATATACATTATAAATTGTATATATATACATTGCATGAGGGTTTTGTTTAAAGCAGACAGACTTTTAATGATAAGAAAGTTTTAAAAGCAAATACTTTTTTTAATGTTTGGTCAAAACTGTTTTTAACTTATTTTTAACTTATTTGAAGTTTCTTCAAAAACATTTTAGTTTTAATGTTTTCTTGGACCACACATAATTTTAATGGAAGATATCTATCGAATGTTATCAAAAACCAGATGAAATTAAATTGCTTTTTAATAATAACTAATTAAAAACATCACAAACAAAAACAACAAAAAGCCTAGTAAAAGAATTTTTTAATTATTCAAACTTTAAACGCTCATATCATACTAAAAAATACTAAGAGCCCAAAATTATTGTTTTTCATTGAAAAAATAAATAATTAAATATAAATGTATATAAAACAAAAATTACTTTAAAAGATTTTTTGAAATTCTTAGATAGACGCTGGAATCTATTATAATCCATTGAAAAAATAGAATAAAATTCAAGTTTAATTATTCTCCTCCCTAAGGCCAAAAAGGTCATTACAGTCAAGAAAGCTACTTATGTGGTTACAACCCTCTCTATAATTCAAAATACAAATCTTTACAAATGAAGCCGCTGCATTGAGAAACAAATTGAAGTACAGTAAAGAAGCTAAAACAAGTTTAAAATAAAAAAAGAAAATACTAAAATATACTTTAAAGAAAAACACATCACTGCCAATTGATTAAAAGGTATCTGATATTGTAAAGTAGCAAATAATTCTCCAAAGCAATTCTTTATTACTCTCTTACCTATTTAAGTGCTTGACTAAACAATCTAAACCATGTTTTCCATCCTGCAGAAAAATCGTTTTTTAGTTCAATTTTTTATGAAATCTTAAGACTGCTTAGACATTAAACTAGCATCCAGTCTTTTTTTTTTAATGAGCAAAGTCTTTAAATCTTTACCATTATTTACTATTATCAGCAAGGTCTTTGAATTAACTAACAAACATGTAATATCTCAGTTTAACAACTTACTTTTTTAACTTAGATTTTGCTTCTCTCGTTATATTTTTGACTTGTTAACCATTTAAACAGAAAAATCATGCATTTTATTGAAGCTATTAGGTAAGAGCTATTGCTGTTTTTATACCAAAGACTTATAATAAGATCTGGCATGCTGGTCTTTTAATATAATTAATATATAAGCTAACTTCAAAGGGTTTATCTGGAAATTTTTAAAATTATTGAACCATTTTTTTCTAATTGCAGTAAAAGTTTTTTTACTTTTGCGGTTCCATCATTGGTCCTATGTTGTTCCTCATCAATACTAACAATATTTCTGATAATCTCACTTCTAAAGTAACTCTATTTGTTAATTTTACAACTATATACTTCAGGCTTGACAAAACGTCATCACATTTTTATAATATAATTTAGGCAACCTTTTTATATAGGCAGTCTCTGTTCTGAAATCTGATTCTTGAGGCTTTCATTGGCTAGTATCATTGACTGTAAAGTGGTACACTTTAAAGCCTAGTGTACATATTACAGTAATATTAATGTAGTAGGTAATTAAAGTCTTTTTTGCTCTTTAACATTCTTAGTAGTACCTTGCACCTTTTTGAAGCATAACAACAATTTTGTTGAAGCATTCATGATTAATAAAAAAGCTTTAATAAATAACTGTTTTGTAATAAATATACAAAAAACTCTCTTTAAAGAAAAGGAGTGGAAAGTAAAGCTAGGAGCTCCTCCAAACATAAATTTTAACAAACATAAATAGATAATAAGTTAAAGTCCAACGTTTAAAAATCGCGAGAAGTACAGAATTAAAAAAGACTCTGAGATTAAAAATTTATACTTTTTTAAGTAATTGATATACAAATTTACATTTTGTTTAGATATAAAAAGGTCATGGATTATTTGTGAGTTTACAATCTCTCACAGAGATTTTACTTTCTAGTTAATATTTTGATTTCTTTTGACTCGTTAATTTATGATTAAAAAGCATTTTTTTCTTTGTTGAAATTTGTGAAACTTAGCAAAACAATAAGTATTTAAACTTCATAAAAAACCTTATTATACAGAATAGACAATCTAATTTGTTGGTTTCAAAACTCAAGCTAAAAATTTAAATATGATTTACAACCTCATTCTTTGTCTGACTTTCTGTAGCTAAAAGATCAAATATTTTATGGATGCAAGGGTTATCAAATCTTTTATTTGTCTGTGCATTGAACACTGTTGTTATATTTGGGCTCATTCTTCTAATAATGTTTTTTTTTTCTACACAGCATCTAAAAACAAACTGCAATGGTATGATTTTTATCCCTGCAATTCTATGCTTAAGAAATCTCTCCCACTTTTATGTTTTTTGAATCGAACAATCTTAAACTTTGAAAGTCTTCTGTCAACCGTTTCCTTGTTTTTTAACATTATTTTTTTCTTCCTAGTATCTAGTAACTTATCTAGTACTTCCTAATAGCAATTGCTTGCAGTCAGGAGTTGCTCACAGTCTTGATAGGAGTATAAAAAAATTTAGTAGGTAAATAAAGAAAGTAAGTAAAATTTATTGAAATTATTATTGAAGCAAAGGAGTAAATAAACCAACATTATCTTACCCAACTGTTGTTAATGTAACAATTGACCACCATAAACTACTACCAAATCCATTTATAAAACACTTGCTAAAATCTTTATTTGTTATGCATTCCTAAAGAAAGCAAAATTATTTAATTAACAATACCCCATTATCAACCAAAAGTCAACTAAAGATAATAATAGTCTATTTTAATAAAGAAACTAAATCTACTTTACAAAAACAAATAATTTAGGTTAGGTTCAATAATCAAAAAACAAAAAAATCCTTTATCCAATAGATGATAGCAGGTTTTTGCACTTTTAGAAAAAAAGTTGATGAAAAGCTAATTGTAGGTTTTTGTGAAGGTGGTTTTTATTAATTTGGTATACAGGTAGTATAAAAGTCTTAATCTAAAAGTTTATGTGTTTATAGATTTTGGTTAGATTTGAATTCAAAATAACCAGTTCAGTTTTATTAGAACATAGTTAATAGACTTAAACTGGTTTGGAAACACGGAACTTTGTGTAACATAAACTATATTAAGTTGAAAATGCAATCATGTGACATTGACTGTGCACAACATATACATAACATAATATACACAACATAATTTACAATAGCTGTAGAAGGAGAAAACTGTAATAATATTTGTGATGCTTTTGGAAACTTTTGTAAAAGATCACGAACTTGAAAATTATGCTAAATCTATTTTAGAAGATGAGTACTTTTAAAAGTTTTTAAAATTGCACAAATCTAATAAACACTTATCAACGATATAGCTGCTGAGAATGCTAACAATTTTAAATTAAACTTTAACATCGAGATTTTGTTTTCACTAATAAAAAATGTGTTTTACGAGGCTCTTTTTATGGCAATTAAATTATTGAGCAATTTAAAACTCTTCTTAAAATTTGTTCTAGAAGTTTAAACGAGTCTTACGTTAGTTATTTTGGGAATGGAGTAATTTTAAGAAAATTTTAAGTTGTGGTGATGAATATGAAGATTCTGCTAAATTATTATTAAGCAAACTTGCAGATAGTATACCAGCTTATTATAATAATAATATATCTATTGTTATTAACGATCAGACATTAAATACACCTGCAATATGTGGTAGGGAAAAGTATGAATTGCAAAACTTGGAGGTTATGTTATTCATAAAATTTGAAACAAAACTCAAAATTCTCGAACTAATAATACTCAATTACGAAAAACATTGTCTATACTAAAAAGCTGTTAAAATGAAACAAAAAAAAAACTGACCAAAAGCTTGTCAACAGTCTTAATCGTGGTGAACTTATTGGCATTACAATTGAGTTTGAACAAATTTTAATTATAGCAGAAAAAATATTTTTTTTATATACAGAACAGTCGAAACTTACTTAAAGTATAGACAGATTTTTTGATCAAAAAAACACTCTGTGATAAAGATTTAGATAAATATTACAGGGCTTGTATTGAAAAATGTGATTTAAAATTAAAAAAAAAAAAGTCAAAATTCTACTTTGATACTAGGTTTATATTTTCGAAGTTTGAAGTCATTCCTTCACTAAAGATATTGTTAATAAGCATAAAGCAAAAAAACAAAAACAGGAGAACAACCAAAAAAAAGGATTACATAAAAACATGAAACAACCATATAGACTAAAAGAAAAACTTAAAAAATAATAAATGTTTTTGTTTTTTCTTTTCTGAAAATAGTTCTTTTTTTACTTTAATAAAAATCAACTTTAAATATTTAAGTCAAAAAAAAGACTAATATGTCATTTGCTCATTTATTTTCTTTTTTATTGTTGTATACTTTTTTTGATATAATGTACAATATATATATATATATATATATATATATATATATATATATATATATATATATATATATATATATATATATATTTTATATATATATATATATATATATATATATATATATATATATATATATATATATACATATATATGCACATTTTTTGTTTCGAAGATCCAAGTTATACATTTTATATATAATGTCGATTTTTGAAAGTTTTGAATATAAAGATTAGTTATAAAATCATGTTTTCATATTTTTTTAAATTATTAAATCTTCAAAAATGTTATCCAAGCTTGTTTATTGTCATATGAATCTCTAGTATTTTCAGTATTAAGCTAAACACTTTGTTAAATGCATATTGCATTAACATTGTAGCAAAACTGTTTGTCATCTGGATTATCTGAACAGCGCCCAATTTTCCTATGAGCACTAAAATATTCCTCAATTGAGTCTTGGAAAAATCTACTTGTAAGTATGTAATATAATATAGCGTACCCTCACTTAGCAGAAACTTTATAACCATGTTATATATTATCACATCTCAATATATATATATATATATATATATATATATATATATATATATATATATATATATATATATATATATATATGTATATATATATATATATATATATATATATATATATATATATATATATATATATATATATATATATATATACAATATTACAATATCTAAACTACTTATAAACCAATATAGTTGCACAAGATCACCTCTTGATTATCTATTTTCTAACATTGGGAGATTATATAGTAATATTACATCCACTACTACACTATAGTAATACATAGCAACATAAGAGTTTGTGATATAACACAACGAAGTCATTATGATATGTTTTAACAATTATTACATTCTATATATGATCTGTAGTGATTGTTTATAATTTTTTTATCATCTGGCTTAAAGTGCTTTTCACAAGCAAAGACTTTTCCAGAGTTGATTTGTTTTGTAACATATATAAAATACTCTATAATAAATATATACAAAATTGTGAAAAGTTTACATTTGTTAGACTCTAAACCAGTAATATTATAAATGCTTTAAAAGTATTTTACAGTAATTATTAGTATTAGTAAACCAGTAATATTATAAATGCTTTAAAAGTATTTTACAGTAATTATTATAGTAAATAAAAGAAAGCATCTTGTATTTGTTGAATATAATGAACTAAAATAGTACTTTTCCTTACGTAAATATTTGTAAATCACCTTTTAAATATCATCTGACTTGAAGTACATCTCCAGACTATCAACGAGTTTATAAAACAGTATTCAGTTATTTAATTTGCTCATTAATCTTAATGAGTAAACTAACTAAATGAATTTCTAATTTATACTCTAATAAAGCAGAAAACGTGTTCGTTTCTTGCTTACGATCCGCTCTCTTAAAAAAATAGTTTAGAATCTATACTAACAGTATTACTTCATTTTCAAGAGTTTGTTTAATGATCTTCACATTATGTAACAAGCGTTATACAACGTTAATAAGTTTGTGTGCACGGTCACGCTTGATTTACGCTCTATTTTTGTGTCAATAAGTTAAACAATGAATTTTACGGAGTTTCCAAACTAGTTAAAGTCTATTAACTATGATTTGAGAAAGTTAGTTTTATAAGAGAATATAAAGTTATATCTAATATAAAGAGAAAGTTAGTTTTAATATTTTATTTTTACAAAAAAAAATTGCAATATTCTGTAAACAATGCTCGCTTGCCTTTATTTTAAAATTAGCGAATCATGTTCTGAGCCTGTATTTCTATTAAGCGTAAAACGCACATGGTTAGGCGTAAAGCGGCGTAAAACGCACATCTTAAAAATGCTAGCCTAGCTGACCAAGAACGTCACTTATATGGGGTACACTACAATCCAGTAGGCACAACGCGTGTTCAAGACGTCAATAACCTGTATTAAAACGTCTTACTTACGTTTTTAAGACGTTTAAAACACGTCTCATGCCCGCTAGAGAGGTATCCTGTGATGCAATCTTTGAAATCTTTTGGTTTTGTCTGCGGAAAATAATTTAATTTGAATGCTCAAATTAAGTGAAACTTTGACTTTATAGTGCGACAACAAGAACACCTGTAAAATGAGAACCACTTTAAATAATTTAATAAAAGTTGGTACAAATGTAGCATACGGCTACACCAAACTCTGGATAAAATTTAAGCCAGATTGATTAAATGTTTAAGGACTTATGGCAGATTTAATTGGTATTTTGTTAGTTTTTTGTTACTGTTTACCACCTTAGATGTGAGAATATCTAAGGTGATAAACCTTATCAATACCTTAAAATTTTCTTCAGAAGGTCAAGAAATTGGCAACCTAATACAGCAGCCAAAAAATGTTTTCATCTACGCTATGGAAACAGTTCTTTACTATTTTCATACTCAATGAAGATTGGTATACCTATAGGTATATAATTAATTAGAATTAATAGACTCAATATATTGAGTTTATTAATTCAATTCAAGATATCGGTATAGTCGTATCTTTGGATATAAAGTTTCATCAACATAAACTTTATAGGCTTTGATTAGAAGCTTGTATTAGAAGCTTAATTCACGCTTTCAATGTAAAAATAATACAAGAAGATTTTTCTTCTGTGAAAGAATTATAAAGATATCAAATTATCTACCTGATTATATTGTTTATTCGTCCACTTTATCTTTGTTTAAATCAAATTTAAAAAAATACAATGTTTATCACCATTGCACACTATTTTAACTTATCGTTTTTTGTTGTGTTTTTTTCGGTGTTACATGAGAATAATTTTGATATTACCTGCATCACCTTTTTGTATTTCTAATTTTTAAATGCAAATAAATTAGAAAATAAATTTAGAAACAAATTAATTTGCAATTTTTTATATCGTCTGTCAATCGTCATTTTGCTCTATAAACTTCATCTTTTCTCTTCTAGTAACTTCCAACTCTAACAGTGGTTGCATGCAGCCTTGTTGAAAGCAAAGATGTTAAAAATTGACAAATAAAAAGTTTGAAGGACTGGTCAGAGGAAAATCTTATGAAAGTCTTTAGTTTGGAGGACTGGTCAGAGGAAAATCTTATGAAAGTCTTTAGTCGTCATTTTTTATTAAGTAGGACGAGTGTCATTTATTTAAATAATTATTTTCTTAAAAGGAAAGAATTATGTAAGAGTTATTTCTTGTAATATAAGTAGTTATTTCCTTAAATTAATATTTGTATTTGTTAATGGATTGTTTTTCAATATAAATTATGATTAAATTTTGAAAAAAGAATAGTTTGATTGAGTAAAGTTGTGTTTAGTAAATTGCCAAAAT